GTCTGGATTTTCGAATATCCAAAGCCAAAATACGTTGATATCTGTTGATTTGGCTGGGGTATTTCACCTACAAGTGAAGTGAAGTCATAGAAAGAGAAAAGCAAAAGAATGAAATAACACGCGGTAATTCTGTGCTAATGAGCTCACAATCTTATAACGAAGGTTGGTTGTGTCAATAAGTCCCTGATCCTAGCTGGTTATCGTTATCAGTTATTGATATATCCGCATTTATATTCCTCATTAAAGTTTAATACCAATGACAGGAGCATGTTATAATAAAATACTATAATCCAACGACAGCGCAGCCAAAAGGAGAGGTAATCATTTTGTCCATCTATGTATGTATGTTTTAGTAGTGGCCAAAATGCTTAGCCGATTTAATAAACACGGTATCAAACGATTTCTTATAAAGCTGAAAGTATTAAGTAATTAGTAATATTTTAAATAAGAAACTTTGTCATACTGGCGGCATTGCAATTAGTCTCTTCTACACACAGTTATATAACATTAACGGCGAGTACCTCACCCATCTGCGTATTGTCGAGGATATTGTGATCATGGCACAGTCTTTGGATCATCTAGACAAACGCTATGTCGTCGAAGCAGTAGTGCCTACCTCTGTACTATGAACTACTGTTGTTGAGGAATAGTCTACCTGGGTCATATTATACAATTAGGTAGATCCAACTTCGAGAAAGAGGTCAATCTTCGAATCCGACTCGGCTCGTTTCCCGAACGCTGCCCGTTCGGGAAACTTGACAAAGTGTCATCCCCGTATACCTCAGTGCCTTAAAATTAAAGTGTTCCAGCAGTGTGTGTTACCAGTGATGACGTATGGTACCGAAACATGGTCCTACTGCGAGCATAGTGCACAGAATGGAAAGGGCTATGCTCGAAGTTACCCTGCGTGATCAAATCAGAAATGAGGAGATCCGTAGAAGGACTAAAGTCACTGACATAGCCCGTCGAATTTGAGTTGAAGTGGCAGTGGGCTTGACACATCGCTCGTAGAACTGACGGCCGTTGGGGCAAAAAGGTTCTGGAGTGGAGATCAGTACCGGACGTCGAAAACCTGACGACCTCCAAGGTGAACCGACGGCCTGGTCAAGGTAGAGGGAAACGCTGGATTCAACTAGCAAACGACCGGTCGTACTGGAAGTCTATGGGAGAGGCCTATGTCCAGCAGTGGACACCGAACGGCTGAATCGACACACAGTTACAGTTCTGTAATCTAAGTGAACTTCTTATTATTTTACTAATATGTCAGCGTTACCTGCCAGTTAAACGCCTCGTAATGACACGATCCGATCGGCTCGACAGAATCCAACCTCAGCGGAATTGGATTATGAAAATTTCATTGTTTTATTAAGTTAAACTTTGCTGCGGTGGCTGTAAACGAATTTATTTATACTTAGTTATCGGCTCTTGCAAAGTCGGTTTCTAACGTTTCGGTAACTTGAATAATTAAATTTGTCAGCGGCGGTTGACACGGCGCTGGGTTTTCTTCAAAATTTTCAGTGGCGTCACGTCTATCTCTCTCCACCCGGCGCGCTGCCATTGTGTCATTGTGATTCACTGATTTGAATTATTTATTGTTTGATTTCACACTTCGAAATTATTCAGACGGTAACAATTTTACTCCGATTTCAAGAGAGCAATTAGAGCCGGGTTCAAACTCATAAATCATTTGCGAGCTCCATTTAATATAAGTTTGTGAAATTAAGTCGGATTGATATTATAATCCTGCTTTGTTTAGGAAGGTAGGCAAACGTGTATTTCGTAACAACTCACATGACTGTGAATTTATTCATCTTGTAACCGCACTCAATTTTTATATGCGCATTCATTTAAATGTGACGCATAACAAGGAATCTATACAGTACACTGACAGAAAGTACCAATTTCTGTGTCTAGTTAACGCCAGTGGTACACATTAAATAAAACACTTTCAACTGTTTTGAATTTATAATATATTGGTTATTATATTTGAAAACTTTATCAATTTTTACATTTTATTGCACATGAAGGCACTACATAATTTAAAAATCGAATATAAATTACATATAATTATATAGGACTCAGGTAGCTCAATTGGTAGAGCAACAACGGCGGAATGCTGACGGTGCCGGTTCAAGTCCTGCCCGAGTCGAACATTTTTTCAATTTATTATCGTTTTTTAAATTATATATATATTTTTTTATTTACTCTCGTCGTTTTAAACTTTTAAGATCGTAAAGACGTCATGTGGCTTAGTTCGAGGGTCACTTTTTTATGATAGAGGAGGACAGACATGCTTGTCTGGGATTCACTTGATGGTAGGTAAAATACCCCAGCCATCTAACATCTAAACGAGATGCGCTGCCGATCTGTTTTGGTTTTGGATATTCGGAAATCAGACTGAAACCGAAACACGATTAAAATTCACAGCTTTCGCATCTGTGGACGGTGTATCGTAACCCGGACTCACCACTAATTTATATAAATTTACAAATTAGTGGGAATCGAACCCTCGACCCGTGAATTATTAGCCGTGCATTGAGCCTTTGAAAAGTGACACCTACTAAAATTTACTCGACCCAGCATTCGTGGTGATCGAGTAGTAACCACTAAATCGACGATTCGGATTGGGGTGTATAACGATCATGTCAGAAATCTAAACGGTTTTAAAATGTTCGAATTAAAGTAGAGCATAGAGAAGCCCTTGAAATCCCTCCGCGTCCATACTCTTCCCCTAATAACATTAAATATATACGATTATTTAAATGCATTTTGAAGGTCTGTCAAGCCTGCATTTACCGCGTCTGAATTATTCATTATGCCTAATCCACGGCTACCTTTCCAGTTTATTTCATAAATGTATTCTTCCTGAAGGTTAGAGAGACAATACTTGGACATAAGGGCTACGTATTGTTATCCTTACAAATACTTACGTCATATAGAACAAAAGGTAACATGAGGTTACCCTGAAAGTAATAGGATTACTATGAATAGTATCTTTCACTTGTTGTTTTTAATGCTCCTTATTTAGGCACAAAATATATCAAGTTCTACATTAAGAATTTCGTTTTTGTATGTAAAGTCTAAGTTTAAATATGGCCAAGCGCGAGTCAGAACTTCGCACAAAGGAGACCGCTTCTTTTAATATTAATAAATATTACAATTGAATATTAACAGATTCATAAAAAGTCATGGACGACGTTTTGTATCAATACCAAGTTTTACTGCATAGGTTTACTTTTAAGATCGATTCCTTTATGATGTTAAATGATTCCGAAAGCCATAAATTAGGGAAATGATAAGCAATTGCGTTAGAGCATTGCGTACGATATTATATAGCTGTGGAAATTCGACAATTTAAGTTGGTGGAGTATTAAAGGGGACGACTGAGACGGTTAATTCTCCCCATAAGGGTCGTAGCGGCGCCACAGATCCTGCCGTAGACAAAATTCTTAGTATGACACTGTTCCCATTTCTCTGGAATGCTGTAACATTTGATAGCGCAATGACCCGCCTTACATTTCTCTCTGAATTGAGTTAATCCTATTCAGTTTTGTCTTGTAAATTCTTCTACCACTCTTATAAATATACACGTTGTAAATTAAATGATTGTTACCAATGGCATTTAATCATATATTAATGCTATTATTAATTATTAGCCAATAATTATTTGTTTTTTTTTTATTGTATTTACGTATTTGTATTGTAGTTACTAACAATTTGTTTGCTTATATAATTATAACAAATTGTTTTATTCAATATTTTCTTCATAAAACCATTTAAGACAGGTAGGTTGATATGGCACACAAGAAAAAATTACAGATACAACTTAACATGTAATAGTTATATTATTTTTAATGTGCTTTAAATATATAATATTTAGTAGATTAAACACATTTATTAATTATATTTATATTTTCAGGTATTATTAATAACACATTTATAGTTCTCAATATTTATATTGAAAACGCTTTTTAAATTTATACAATCAATAAATATAGTCCTATAATTACATGACAGATTGTGTTAAAACGTGTATACCGATCGTTGTATACAACCTACCTGCACTGTAATATTCTCATAATAAACGTAAATAAAATTCTCAGAAAGGACATTTGGCGACAAATTCATCAGAGCGTGGACAGGCCATTTGTTGCGCGTGTTTTCACGCTTGATATAGTATAACGTGTCCACATTTAGCCGATTTATGTACATATCCAATTTTCCTACATATACATTTTTCCGATACATTATGACGAATCGGCTAAATCTTGCCTTGTAAGTTACCCTCTGAATTCTTACTACGCAGTTTGTCCACTCTAGTTCGTCGCCATGAATTTCATGTCCATTCACATCCGGCTCTGTGTGTGTTCATCTATTGTGAAATTTTCCGTTGAAAATGAGGACGGCGCATAATCCGAGTAAACCGGTCGCCTAAAACAACCTGTAACCATATTTTTTCGTAAACTAGTTCGTGAACACTGAATGCAAATCAATCCCGTGTATTCATCGCACATTTCAAATGTGAAGTTATGTAACGTCCCGGTTAAATTGTCCGTGAAACGCCGCGAAATATTCCTCTTGCGCCTGGATTTTTTCCGCGGGTTTTATGATTTGAAAAGTCCACATATTACGCGGAGCGAACGATGCCAAAGTAAGTGGCAGTTCTCACAGGGCACAGTGAAATTATTTATGGACTATTTTATTGCGAAACTTCATTCGTTGCTGTGGTTGCTTTTATTCCTTCGACGGGAAAAAGTTGTGAGATTTTATTGCCGGTGTGAGATAGGACACGTTATTGCACTAACTTTGAACGGGAGTTGAAATTAAAATAGAGGGTTGTGGTCAACAGTGGTCATAATCATAAACCATGAGTCAAACGCTTGCTCTTGATACTTTAACTTCATACCTGCATTACATCCAACTTAACCCAGAATTAGCTCAAAAATATTTTCTCTGTTTACTCCCATGTCTTGTATTCAAATGTATTTCCTTCTTTACAGAATTCAATTAGACACAATTTATCCCTACATAACCGGTTCATGAGGGTGCAGAATGAAGGCACAGGCAAATCTTCCTGGTGGATGATTAACCCAGATGCGAAACCTGGCAAGTCAGTCAGAAGACGAGCGCTGTCAATGGAAACGTCCAAAGCGGAGAAAAGAAGGGGGCGAGTGAAAAAGAAGGTACTAAAATTATTTTAGAAGTTTCTTATCTTTTCGAGGTATTCGGCCCACGTTATTGAGAAATGATTCTTAATCTCTCAGCGCAAAGTGGCCGTGAAACGATTTGAGTTAAAGTCACTTTAAGATTCATATTTTGTCATTTTACAAGAATTTTTGTTTTTGATTTAAATTGTCGATAAGAAGAACATTTAAAAAAATCAAGTTACATTATGGAAAGCATGTTATATCAATCTAGTAAATAATTAAAAATATTTATTTTTGAGTACATAACAAGAATAATAATTTTTAAAAGATAACGAACTATAGACATATTTTTTCTCTATCTAAGATTAACATAACCTAATTTTCTCTTGTTCACATAAATTGTACTGTATATGTCTTCGTTATGACTCAAGTGTTTATTAATAACACCGTGATATTATTTCGATCGACAGCCCGAATCACTAAGGAATGGAATGACAGCTGACACGACGCCAAGCCCCAGTAGTTCAGTATCTGAGAGCCACGACATATTCCCAGACTCGCCAGTACCCAGGTAAAACGCCCGGGATAACTTTAAACGGCTTATAAATTCAGTAGCTAGACTAGTTGCTTCCTTTGATACCACAGATGCATAAGTCCAAAGAATCGTGGCATCCAGCCAATAGTACTAACGGTTATGAGTTTCGGGCTGCTATACTAATTCGACTTTAAAGGTATAATAATTTTATAACGCAATCACAACTATTGCCAAGTCACCATCCGTAGATCAAAATCTTTTTAACAATGGAACTTTGCGAAGTTCGCGAAGTAGCGAATCGTGAGATTCATTTGTTAAACGCTCACGAGGATTTATTGGATTATTACTTTACACATTTGTGACACATTTGAGAGTAATAGTTTTAAAGGATAGAAGTATTTTTTTTCTCTTTTCAAAGAAACAATGTCCTGTGGTAGTTAATAATGTCGCAACATTAATGATAATAAAATATGAATTACGCTGACCATCAAACCCGTTATGATGATCGCTTCATTTGGCATTCGAGATTATCTGTTAGAGGGCCTTGATAGAGGCATTAGATTTGCATGTTTCCATTATTTATCATAGTTTATTATGAGGAATAGTTTTAGATTGTTCTAGAGTACCGACGTAGGAGTTTCTTTTCAGCCATTTTTCATTATTTGCTACGTATACATATATGAAACGTGACTATAGGAAAGTCAATTTTCTTTCTATGTCATTAACGAAAGTTGATATGAAAACACATTCAGTCTACTTAATGTAGAAAAAATAACTTTAGCTTCTACAGACACTAAACATTTAAATAAAACAATTGCAACGGCTTAAAATGAATATATATTTAGTTATTCAACGGCTCTCGTGACTGCAGCTATAAATAGCATCTGCAGAGACTGGACGTAGTTAAATATATCTTAACGTTTATCGCGTTTTAATTTGTCGAGTTTTTTAATTTCATTTGAAATGTTTAAAGATAAAGTCAGGATTAGATCATAGTGTCCTTTTACTTATAGTCACGTTTCATTAGCAATAGGATCATATTTTTTTAACGCTTTTATGCTTTTGCGGCAGTAGCAGCAATTTTCAGCTATCGCCGGACTACCGCCAGCGAGCATCATCAAACGCCTCGTCCTGCGGTCGTCTATCACCGATCCCTTCCATATTGCATTCAGAAACCGATTGGCAACCAGATTATTCCACGGATTTCGGATCAACTGATTTCTCGACAAACACAGACTACCAAGATTACACGCAAGACGAATTGGCCGGTACACTAGCGGATTCCATGAAGCTGCACGGAGACCCGTTCTTAAATACGTAAGACGCTTCTAGAATTCTAGCGCATTTACTTGCTGTTGTCCAATATCGTTATTACCATATCTATATTATCGTAATCCATATTGAAGGCTTATCCAAGTAAGAAATTCTGAAAAGGTGTTGGACAACAGCAAAAACTTACCCCAAGAGCTTCGTTACGCAATTAGCATTTAATTACAGTTATTAGAGTGCTTACGTTTTTTGTAATTGCGTTTATTTTTAGTTATTAAGTATCAAATGTTTCTATTGTTACGGTCTATTTCTTCTTGACAGCGCCAAGGACCACCCTTACCATATTAATTTATATTTATGGAAAAGCAGATGAACACTCTAGGAATGTAGGACATCGACGCAGCGTCCTTTATATAAAGATTCCACACTAAAAATATAATAATTCATGCATTATTATTTAATAGACGACTACACGCACACAGTCATATCCTCATTGGTGATAACTAGTTAATCTAGTATGATTATTGATCGTTCAACCTTCACAATCAGCGTACAGCTGGTCTAAGGCCTTAATTGTTTTATGCAATAGGTACGTTCCTACGACGTCTTCCTCGTCATCGGGTGGAAATTACCGGTTCGCTTACACGTGCCCGCGACACCCTCACGGCGGTTGCGCGTGCGCATCTCTGTTTCCCGCGCACCCCGCCCACCCTCACCAGCATACGTTAGACCATTTTGTTAGACCGCCGCCACCGGCTGATCCAGCTGACATCATGCAGACAGGTGAGTCGTTATGCCTATTTTCTGAATACTGATAAAAAGTGGAAATTTCTATATCATAACGATACACGAGATCAAAGGGCAAATTATGTTGCTGTCGTTTCAAGTTGAAATTAATGTTAACAGAAAGCAGTACCCAAATGGTGACGACGTCAGATGCTGTGCTAATGAACGGCGGTATGATGGTGCAGTCTGGGGCAATGGGTCCAACTACGGTTATGGGGCAAATAATGGGTGCGTTAAATACGGGTCTGGCGGAGGATCTTAATATTGAAACATTGGAGCACAGTTTCGACTGCAATGTGGATGAGGTAAGAAAATAGATTTCAACAAACAATATCCAGTTATTAAAATTTTATTATTTAATTAAATAAAAAAAAAACATTGTCCTTTAATAGGGTAATTTTAATGAATAGTGAAGGGAAAATACGGTAGCCTTATGAAAAGTAGTTTAAGTTTGTCTTTCTTTTTCAACAATATTATCTATCCGCAGGTGATAAAACACGAGCTGAGTATGGACGGCAGCCTCGACTTCAACTTCCCACAGCAGCACACAGTGATGGCAGCTGAAGCCGAGAGCCAGTTTGCAGCACCCGCCCCCCCCTGTCCCCACCACGCTCTCCGGTGGGGGGGCAACGCACCCCCTACACGGTTGCACCATCCTGGGTCCATTGAACTATTTAAATATAGAAACATTTGTACATAGTTGTTGCGTAGTCAAGTTTGTTTTAGAATAGTAAGGGACGGTTACCGTTTGAAGTGTCAATTGTTTTAGTGTTAGTGCGGAGGGGGCGGGTACGGCGCCATTTTGGTATTTAAAGGTATGTATTTTATAAGTTCGAAGTTAAAGTAGTTATAAATATATTTGATACGCAAGTTTCCTACTAAATTACCGCCAATGAAGATGGTTTGGTAGCTTATAATTTTAGCAATAGAATAGGCAGACATCAATTTAAATATTATTTTCATATTTAAATCTTAGTCTATAATATTTTCTGTTTTTAACATCACAAATATTAACAAAATGTATTTAGTCAAAAGCACTAAACTGTAGATTAACAATAATTATACTTATATTTTACATTTTATCAAATAATTATAAAATTACTTCAATTGGCTCCAATAATATACAGTATCATATTCGTATAAACTGTGGTCGAATGTGACAGATTATAAACAATAAATTAACAAAACAAATACACTACCGAACATTTAACAATACAGATGCAATAAATCGTAGTGGTTGTATCAGCGATTATCTGTGGAAGTTTCACAGCAATCCAATAACTTAGTGAACATTTCGCGAACGAGTCCGTTGTTTCGTGAAAATACCGCGGACATCCTGACCTCATTTCTAGTCTTGATAGGAGGTAACTTTTATAATGGTGTCTGCACTTTTCGACTGATTTATTGCTTTATAATTCGGAGTAGGGTGTATATACGTTCGGACTTCGGATTAATTTATTAATACGCATAAATTCAATTTAATTAACTTAGGTCTTTTGGTAGCCATGTTAGTTAATCAACGGGTTGTGGGTTCGAGTCCCACCATATCCAACATGTTAAAAATTAATTGATAATGTTTAGTTCGATTTCCTCAAGCGAACCTCACTCTTGTCTCCCACTCTGTCATACAAATACTATTATATCAAAATTTTATCCCAAAAACTCGTGTGATTTTTTTTTAATGATAGATCACACAGTTTATATGTTATATATATGTTCAAATTTCGGTATTCCTACCACCTGTTTCATATACAAATTTATAGATGTCGTCTATAAATTTGGATATGAAACATATACATTTGCAACATGTTTCAGAAAAAATATTAATTGATTAGAAAAGGGGTTGGACCCGGTGGGAATCAAACTCTCTACCCGTTGATTTTTAGCCATTACACCAAGCCCGTCAAATAAGTATTAAAAAGTACGTATTTCGTTTATATAGTTTCATATATGTTTTATGTCATCAAGTACGACTTTCGTTATGAATCACAACGAAAGTCGTTGCTATTAAATTGCAACATTTGAAGATTTTTCTGCTTTATCCCAATTACGCTCAATTAAAGCTCGCGCGTTTTTTTTACGTAATAAAATTGTACTATCCATCGTTGAACATGGCCATAACAAAAACCCATTCACGGAATAAAGAAAAATCCGAGGCGGGGCCGTGATTTTGTCTCATTCGGCTTTACGACGTCGCATATTACGAAAAATAACTACGTCACTCATATTCACGTTTCTTTGTACGTGGATTATGACACGTGAGGAAAAATATATTCGTAGATCCATGGCCATTTTAGATATAGTGCGATAATTTGAATATGTCGCTGTGTTCCTTATAAAAAGACTTGTACGAACCGTGAACTGGAATTGTATCTGTGCCTCGTCAAGTATTAGCTGTATGTGCCTAGCTGTATTTTTTTGACGGATAAAATGAACAAAAACTTAAAAAAAATTTAAATAGCGTCGGCATTGCCTAGTTGGTTAAGCGCGAGAGATCCTGGGTTCGAATCCCAGGGAAACAAAAAATTGTTTCGGTCGGGCAGGGCACAGAAGTTTGATCAACGACTTGCCGAGACGGATAGAAACGAACACAAAAATGTTCGCCCCATCCCACGAGGGGAAACAGGATTTCACTGACAATGTGTGTAACAATTCCTTACTTACAAATAACGTTACATACTACAAGATTAAGTTAATTTTTCTTTAAGCTAGTTCAGGAAATTTCTGGAATTCTAGCGTTGTTACTTAATCTGCGAGCCCTTAGGCGCCAGAACCGTTTATCAGAAATTGTTAGAAAATTACACCGTTTCATAAACGACACATTATGGAGACACTACAATTTCAATCAAGTAATTTATATAATCATGGTAATACAGTTGTTCTCTTAGTAGAGCTTGTATCTTTGTATTGTTGTATTTAAATACTGCCTGTACTTTACACCACTAGTACACATTTAAATTAAACACCTTAACGGTGTAAATCACGATATATATTAGTTAAACTTATTTGAAAATTAATTTTATCTACGGCCCGACCACGACTTCTTCAAAGCATCCGAAACATCGTCAAATAAGTTTCACTAATATATATCGCATTTTAAACCGGTAAAGTGTTTTAATTAAAAGTCAATGTATTTTATATTTCTCCACTTGGCGTAACTAGTCTTACGCTTTAGATTATCGTTCTGAATTTTACAGCACGTTCAAATAGATGAATTGAATATCGGGGATAATTATCGTCCTAATTACAATAAAACACGCCGAATCGGTTTCCTTCTATAGAAACGGCTCGTCATTTGTTCGCCGATATGAATGTATAATTAGATTTGTATTGAACGCGGCTTGCTAGCGGTCGTGATTTAATTTTACCATTGAATGGTTGCATTTGCTAATGAGGGGACCGGGCGGTAATTAATCATATCATTTTTAGCGTAAACGGTGGCGTGGCATCCTGGCGAGCCACCGTCGCAGAATAATGGATTAACGCGAAAAAAATCCAGAAGAACACGACGCTATTAACCTTCGGCGGCGGTAATGACTTGTTTTCAAGGGTTAGTCTTGTACAGACTCCGATAATACGATCAGGGTTTTTATTAATCTTTTAAAATCCGTCCCGAGTTAATGGTGTATAAAATCTTCGAGCGAGTCGAAGCTTTTTGAAAATAATTTCAAACGTCACAGTGCTTAGACAAATGCAATTTAATATGCGGAAAAAATCCTCGCTCGTAATTGAAGTCGACATTTTATTAACAAGCTGATTTTCATAAAGAGTCGTTTAAATTTCCAAACTCATCCCGTATTCCGGGCGGTGGCGACGTAATTAGGTAGGTCCCACCTTTACACACGATTTCTCGGCACTTGTTAAAAGTTTTCAATTGCGTTACGAGGGTTCTTAGTTCCTTACACGGAATTTATTCATTATATTCTCCCTTGCGCGCCCTCCGCTTAATAAAACGCGTTGCTCTTTTTATCTCGCTAATATTTGCTCCATGCCTTTTCGGTAGGTCCGTAATGAATTTGAATTATTACTTTTACTTTTTAATAAGTTGCCGAATTCGAAATGAGACTACAAAAGCGATAGAAGCAAACTAAACAGTTCGTTAGTTTAAAGCCGTAATTCCACGAACAACACTCTACACCACAGACTATAAAAGACCACCACAGATTATATAATATAAAAGTGTTCCAATATTTTAGACGAATTTCGTGGCGCCCATAAAACTTTTCTAATTTAAATCTTATGTATCGCAAAGTGGTGGTAGATAAACACGATTTACATGAACTCGAGTTTTTTACATTCCATCGGAGTTTGTCGATGAACGGCGCATATCAAGCTGCTCATTATTGTTTGACAGCTCGTGGCGACTTTTATCGGTTATTTAAATGAGGCAACATAGTTATGCCTGTCAATTTTCTTTAGATTTACGCGTGCGGGCGTTTACATTCTAATTATTATTTATTTTCTATGGATAAGTGTGTATTGTAGCGAAGACAATTTTAAATAAAAAACTTTTAAAGTTAGTTTTAAAACGCTCAATAGATTAGTTAAACTTACTTAATGCGTAATACTCGCGTAAACTACAGACTGCTCTTAATTATTTACATTTAGGAAATTTACCTATGTAGTAAATGTCGAACTAGGTAAATATATATATGTTTATTTTTTGTTGAACTATGAAATGCATTAAGTATATTGAAAAATGTATGTAATATCGTATTAAAAATACCGCCCAACAATACAATATAGGCAGGATATATTTTCTTTGTTATTCTTCTAAGATAACACATTTCTTAAGTCCGCTTCTGATAAAAGTAAAGCTGAATGAAGATGATTTTAAAAATAAATACTTCTATCAAAGTCTAAAATGTTTGTCTTCTCAATATTTAATAGGTATAAAACTTATTACACTAGCGGAAATATTGTCAAATTTAAAATACTGCAAGAGCTCTTTATAATTTTGTTGAATGTTTTAGCATTCACCAATGTCGGCCGACGCAAATTGGATTACGTGCTGAGATGAACGCTCCCGTACTGCTAACGGTTTTATTATTTTATTGCCCATCCCCAAACGCCACGATTACGCTCAACAAATTACACGAGCACAGATAATGCAAAATGTAGATGTTCTGGCGCCAAATTAGTGTGTCTGCTTAACTGGTAACATTAATAATTAGGTCTTATACTCTGTGGACATTTTAAGTATTACAGATACAGACATCTTCCCGCCATTTGCAATAATTAATTCGTCAGTATTTAGCAAAGAAAATACTCTTTATTTATAACTAAATTCACAGTGGCTTTACAGACCTATAATTTAGCTCTCTTAAGTATTCGTTAAAAATCTAAGGTATTTTCTTTAATCATATGATTTTTTACTTTTTAATTTCTGAAACGTTTTCGCAGCACATGCAACGTGAGCTCTAAATAATTTTCCCCAGTTTTCAACATTTTCTACTGTCCTTCGTGATGTTAGCCTAATAAAGCCATCCCCTAAGTGGTAAATGCTACACAAAATAAACAGTAGTTCCCGGCGTTAGCACGTTAAAACAAACTCTGTAGCTTTATAATATTAGTGATTTTAACAATAGCTCATAATCGTAAATGTCTATAGATCATTGTCAATTTACGTATTATTTATTATCTCTCTATTAGGTAATTTTCATAAGTAACGGGACTATTTTAATAGACTATCATAGGATAAAAAAGTTCTAAGTAATTTTCTACAGCCGACAGTTTTTTGTTGAACGCTATGTGCGACTTACTGACATTTTAAATAGCGGTTAAGTCTAGACTTTTTGTCATTAATTGACAAATT